CAAAGCCCTCGGGGTCTCCAGTTTTGGTGAATGGACCAAATTAGGAGGCCGGAGCATGACCAAATTAAGACACTGGTAAATGACCAAATTAAGATGTGTGCATGTGATGGGTTTGTGGGAACAAAGGAATATGCTGACAGAACAAAACATGGACAATATGATGACCACAGGGAAACCAATCAATGGTACCCAGAGATGAAGAGTCATCAGGAGGAGGAAAAATACAAAAGGAGAGATTTCAAGGCAGTAAGAGGTCCCCATAGAGGAGTCCCATGGCCACCATGGACAGAAGGCATACCACTAGCCTGTCTCTCGCACCCCAGTGGCAGGGGAGTGGGCCTTGGCCCTTGGCCTTCAGACTGCTGCCATTCAAGAATGAACCACATGGGGATGCTCATGTACTGGCCAGATGTACCTTTCTTCTAGCAAAGGCTTTGGCCTGGTAGATATAAAATTGTTTGCCTTGAAGGCATTATTCTCATCTGCTATCACTGTATATCAATACAATTTGCCTATTATCAAATGGAAGAAGTCGTGGTTGGCCTGAAGGTTTAGGTCTGCACAGAACAAGGTATCTGGGTCATAAATCCAGTGCCAACACTGTAGGGTTTTGGTTTCCCAGGTGATTGTTGTTTTTGAGCTCAAGAAAACTCAAACCAGCAGAGATGACTGCAGCCAATTCCAAAATTCCTTGCGCTTAAAGATCCTACCTACACCAATGACAAAATATTCTGTAATCTTAGATCCCTTCTCACACAAAACAGATTTGCTGGCCGAGTTCCTTTTTGTATGCTGTTTCAGGCCAGACTGGCAGGCTGATTGCAGTAGGCACAGACATCTCCAAGGAATATGCTAATGCATATATGAGCTCTATGCACAGTCTGAAATAGAGTAACATAAAAGCAGACATTTCACTCTCTCATGCAATAAAGAACAAGGGGCTAATTCAAGGCAACATAAAAGGAAGTTTCATACAGCATAAAAGGAAATTTCATACACCAGCTGGCCACAGGAAGACCCTTTGCTTATAGCACAGGTTCAAAAGCTGTTAAAAGTAAAGCTAATCTGTTGCCAATTCAGAATGTATTGTAGAGGCTGATGCATCTTCTCTTCCTTCAACCTCCCAGGGGGGGAAGAGACCTAATTTCTGGCAGAGGGTGCTTGAGATCAGGGCTCAATGCTGTTTCACTTCTGTTCAAGTTCTGAACTGGTAATGGTTACCCGAAAGAACTGTGACTGATGCGCAGCAGTGCAGGACTGCAGTTGAAGTATGTGCTTCAAAATCCTGACTGGTGAAAAAGGACACACAGATCTGTTTAAAAAACTCTGCTTAACTGTTAAGATCAAAGACTGGTAAGATCACTTGAAAGATATCCTGAAGTACTCACTGCATGAGCTAAAGAGACAATCCATATACTTCACTGCCTAGCACCAGGCCCTAGAACAGCTTCCTAATATTACCACGAGAACAGGACACAAAGCCCAGGAGTACAAAGCACCTGTTTCCTTGCTTGTGGCTTTTGTAAGGGTGGAAGAGTCATGTTTATATCTACCTGTACTCCTCTGGAACATTTTCTAGGGTTTTTGTAAGGTTGTAAAATTTCCAAGTAAGCTTTTAAGAGTTGTTACATCTGTTTTCAGGAAGTTTTTCCTTATAGTGAGTCTAATTTTCCTTTTCAACTTAATTACTTACAGCCCCCACATACCACACAAAAAAAATCTCCATTCTCTCCAATTTTAGACTTCTCTCTCCCTTTTGTCATCTTAGCCCACAGGCATAAATAGTCTTCTTAAATATTTTCCTAGAAGCCAATTTTGCTAGCTCTCTGGAGGTCTTCTCCAAGTCCCTTTTGTTTACTAACGAATAAGGTTAGCCCCCCTCAACACTTGCCCAAGGCCTTCAGCAGTCAGAAATAGTTTACAGGCCTATATAATTATATCCCCTCTCTCATAAGGATGTTGAACCCAGTCCCTGTGCCTTTATGGAAGATCCTGGCCTAACTTACTCCTGGTCTCATGTTTGAAAGAGGCAAATTAAAGGATGCCTGTCAGTACATTGCTACTAGGGCTGTGCGAAATGGCACCTTTCCGCTTCCAATTTTCAATGGAACAGCGTTCTGTTTCGAATTTCATTTCAATTCAAAACTGCTGTCCCATTTTGTTTTGTCGAAACAGTGTCGCTGTTTCGATATTTCGCCCATAGGCTACAATGGGGAAGCTCCAAACAGCTTGTAACTTTGTTATTTCTGGCTCGATTTGGATGAAACTTGCAGGAATGGTAGCCCCTTCTGAGGGCATGAAGCCTGCCAAGTTTCAAGGAGATAGGTGGAGTTTCAGGGAAACTGCACCTCAAAATCTTGAAAGCAGAAAAACTCATGTCACATGACGCGGGGTTGAAACTGCAGGCACGCTAGCCTCTGCTGCGGCCACAGAGCCTGCCGGCTGTCTTGGAGATCGGTGCACGGCTTCTGGTTCTGGGGCCCTGCCTCTAGCTGCTGACAGGCAAAACGCATGACATGGGTGGGTGACACTGCATGCACGCTAAGGTGCGCCTTCACTCAACTGACACCAAGGCAGAAAGCAGGGCAGTTCAAACAATGCTGCCTTTTCTGCAGTTTTTCCATCCCTGCCCCAGAGCAGTGGGATTGGAAGAGACCTCAGGGAAGGATGACAGTCACTGGCCAGCTACAGTCAATGAGAGCACTCCCCCTGCCCCCTTCCCCTTCCCTCTCCTTACTTTAGTTTCTGTTTCCCTGCAGGTAAGCCCAGCCTGAGCTTCAAAACTTGAAACATTTCGAAAAGTTTGAAACTTTCAACTTGCCTCCTTTCGTATCGAGGCTGTTTCGAAGCTCTCTGCTTTGTTTCGATTTTGCTGTTTTGAGCTCAAAATGAGTTGCAATGGAACTGCTGGCGAAATTTTCTACAGCCCTAATTCCTACCACAATCAAAAGACCCACAAAGTATGTCTGTCCTCCTCTTTCAAGATCATATGGCTTCCAATCATAGTAAGTCCACCAAATGCTCCAGGAAAGAAAGCATATAATTTTTTGCTTGGTTCCATTAGATGGAACTAACCTTTTTGGGAGAACCTTAATATTCTCTCAGTGGCGAAGAAATAACACCAGAAAGAGGAAGAAAGTTTTCTTTTTCCTCTCTAAAAACATAATGGGTCCCAGTGGAATGACACGACCTCCAAATAAAAAGCAGGGGAATGGGGAAAAACAGGAGTATCCAATAGAGCTTAAAGTGGCCAACAGGCCTTAAAGACAGCTGCTAGACTCCAAATCCATGATAAATGCCAGGGGATGATCCTTCAGGAGGTAGCTCAGTTAGCTGTTGTAGTAAATCCTATGGTACACCAATAGAAAGGAAACCGATCAGGCATACGTGTAGTATTAGAGATGCTGATGCAGAAGCTATGATTTCTAAAGTATTTATCTTTACTGTATTTATACATTCACACTGTATTAGCAGTAGGAGTAAAATTGGAAGAAAATGCCCAAAATCTGAAAAAGATGCAAAAAAAATGTTTGAACATGTGCGGGGAAAGACTGGAAAAAAAACAATTACTGCAAACTATATAGCAGAAAAATATTACATCTCAGAAACGACATTAACTATAGGCAATAGTCTGTTTTATGTGACAAGCATTGCACACATTCACTGGTGACTTAAAAAACATGAAAGCAACTTTGTATGGCGCTATAAATTCCATCTCAGTCAAGCTTTCAGTAAGGAGTCCCCTGCGTAAGAAGGAGAAACCTGCAGTCTGGACCAAAGGCAGGAAGAAGCATTCAACTGGGAAACTATTACAAACACCACTTCATTTAAGTTCAAGCGTCTTTGAGCTATTTTGCTCTGTAAATAAGGAGGTAAGAGATCGGTTGATAAGGGCAGATGTTATCTACAGCTGAAACAATCCAGCAAGCTATAGCGGAGAGAGGAGAAGCCCAGCTCAGCGACTCTGTGGGGAGACCATGGGGTCAGGGAGAACAACACCTGGGCACCAGCAGACACGTACCTTCTTGTGCGGGGGCCCCCGAGGGACCTGTCCAAGGCACAGGGTCACTGCTCTGCACTGAGTGATACCGGGTTTCACGGCAGGAGGATTTGGCACTTCACTTCCGTGACACTTCTAGGCAAGAAGCAGCAGCTAAAAGGGGACGAACGATGACAGAAAAGTGCTTTGGTCCGGAGCAGGGGGACCACGGTCCCTGCAGCCACAGCCTGGGCAGGCCGTGCTCTCACGGGCCAGGCACAACTGGGAACAATGCAACAGACATTTGCTGTGGCATCACCCTGCTGTAAGCTGACTCCATTGAGTCACATTTATACTGACTTCAGGACTGTCTGGCTGATCTCAAAACGGCCCCCAAAGTAGCTGAGGGCTGGCATCCAGAGTGCTGCGCAGCAGGCAGGCGCTCCAGCAGCTCAAAGCAAGTTTACAAGGGCTGTATGTGAGATCCTGTGACTACTGCATAATGAATGAGGGACACTGGAAGCACTCATTCAGTTGAGAGCGCGCCTGTGCACTCACTTTCACCAGCACCATTTAAATTAAAACAGAGGGACTTGGGCTAATTCTCTTTGGCTTCATTGAAAATTCTACTACTTTGCCACATCTTTCAATTTTACATCGCACCCAGTTTTTCATTTCATTTACTCTACCCTTCCTGCCTCCCCAGCCTTAGATAATGGAGAGGGAACACTTCCTGTTCCCTCTCCATACTTTTGGATCAAGGCTAAGTAAAATCAACTAAAAGAACATTGCATGATTTGAGCTGCAGGAACTGAAGGAAGCATTTGTTTAAAAATGTGCCCCTGGAATTTAGAGTTACTGCTGGTTTTAGATTTAAAAACAATAATAATAAAGAAAATAGTGATTTATTTATTCTGCTTGGATGACTGCATTTGTTGTGGGTGCAGGAAAGGAGCAGAATCAAACAGGAATTCTAGGTTTCTTCACTTCCCCTTTCAGTAAATAAGGCAAAAGTGTTATGCTTGCTTGAAAATTTTTATTGACAGAACTGTTTGTTTGGTCCCAACACACAAAACAGCACTTGAGCCACAAAAGAAAGTGTCCAAACAAAGTAGACGGCTAAGAAAAACAATTTTCTTCCCTTCCCTCCTTTTCTCCCACCCCCACCTCTACGAGATAGTGCATAAACTGAGGACTTCAGTGACTTTTTAAAACAGACAGGAATCTGAATTTGTATATTTAATTTGAAAATCAAAGAGTTTCATGGTCCTAATTCTTTTGAATCAGTAAGTCACATCATTCATTTAACCTTTTGGATAAGAAAAATATATATTGCAATTCAATTGGTTATTTTCTCAGACTATGAACACAACTTCTCAAAAGTTTTATTCTATTACTCTCAAACAGCAATTTAAATCAGAATTACACATGAATCCAGAAAAAAATGTGCTGATCTCCATAAATGGCATAACCACCACATTCACAAACAAATAGTGCAGAGTCATACTCCAATTTTTCCTCCATAGCATCAAGAATCTGGTTCCACTTAGTACTTTGGATGACTTGTAATTGCATCTTGCAAAATACATTTTACAGGTTTTTTTGTACTTGCTACTGAAACAGACATCTAAATGATCAGAGTTAACCTTAAGAAAGCTGTGCAAGGTACCAGCAGATGTTCTCACATTCCATTCCTGAAATCATTAAAAGCATTCTAAAAAAAAGGCTATATTTTGCTTTCAATAACACTACATCTGTAGAGGTTTAAGTACGGACTCAAATACTGTGCCAAAATGCTCAGAAAAACTTCCAAGTGTTTCTCTGCATTCACAATGGCTATACATTTAGTATTGGTAATAGTGGCTATATTTAAAAGATTTTTAACAAAATCTGACTTGTAAAATTCTGTTTATAGCCATTATTTAGTGGCATTTTCAATTGCTGGCTATGAAACTGGAGCCACTTTCCATCTCTACAAGTTACAAATAACACATCTCAAAAACAGAAGCCATTCGACCAGTGGTAAACCTTTGCACATGGGTTCTTTCAAATGTATTCTTTGCCTGACAAATACAATCCATTGTAAATGCCGAGGTTACCCAAAATGGGTATAAAGCCTCCCTTCACTGGGCATTTCAGCTAACTAGAAATAAAAGGTCATCCCACTGGCTTACCTCCTTTGCAATGGCTGGACATTCCAAAAGCCCACAAAATACCACAAAAAAAATAGGGGAGAAAAACAAAATGCTTCCAATACTAGGAGTAAGTTTTTGAATAAAAACAGACACAGTTAAAAAACGGCGCAACAGAGTAAGCTTCCCATTTATCAACATGCTTAAAAAAATAGAAAAACAAGGTTAAGCAGAACAACCTTGGCAATTCCACAGCTAGAGCTTTCCTTGCAAGTGGAAATAGCATCAATTATTCCATCTTAAAGCACTTTATATCACCTCTATGATCCATAATTTATGCATTAAATGCATATTTTAGAAATATTGGAATCTTTCTAGTAACTTCATTTCTAGACACAATAAAAGTGTGTCTTTATTCTACCTTAAACTTATGACACCAAGACAATCTTTTCTTTCCTTAACCTAATTCCTGTCAAACCAGAATTAAACATAAAAGGGAAGCTTAAAACATCCTCAACTTCCTAGAAAGCTCCTAAACAGAATGAAAGTTACTGAAAACATTTAAAACAAATCTTCCAAAAAATCCATATAACCTTCTACAGACATCTTTACGTGAAAGGTTTCACAATGCAATTACAAGTCACCAAGCTGCGAATAACAAATTTCCCCGCCTTAGTACAATCAATAACTGCTCACTCATTCCAGTCCAGCAAGTTATATTTGTTCAATGGTCTTCTGAAAGACGGATCATGCATTTTATTAATACTGTCTGAAACAATACCAGTAAGCAACATCCTATAGAATATAATATACTACATGTAGGATTACACCACCGAGGCTTAAAGAAAATAAAATCCATTCCATTCTAGTTGAGTTTCTATTTTGTTTTACTGAACACCACCAGTTTATGAAAAAAACTGTAAAATTTTAAGAATAATTTAATGAATGCTGGAAATATTTTTTTCAAAATAATAAAAAAGTCTGCCCTGCTGACAGCTGTGTTCAGTGTAAAAGAAACAAAAATCTTCACAGAATGCATCTAATACAAACTAAGTGACTCTTCTAGTCCTCCTCATTAAAATACATAAGGGCTAGCAGTTAGCTTTATTTTGTGCAGAGTCCAACAGCATTTGTCTTTCACACTAGAGGAAAATTTAAAGCTTGGTTACAGGTGCAAGTGAAAAATTTGCTGCCAATTTTACTTTATTTTTGTGTTGTTTTTTGGCTGGGCTGTCCATTGCTTCCTTGCTTAGTTGGGTTTCAGAAGACTGACTGGGAGGCACTGAAGTATTCTCTGTGGCTGCAGGTACTACAGAGCTGTGGGGCAATTCTTGCACTACTGTGGTGGTGATGATCCTCTGTTTTTCTTCTTCAGTTAAAATCATAATTTCTAAAAACAAACAAATCATCTGAATTATTTATAGATATTTTGCTTTCAAAAACCAGTTTACAGGACCCACAATAAAAGAACTAGATGATGTCTGTGAGGGTGCAGGACTAGAACTTGGATCTAAAAAACGAGGATAATTTGTTTCAGTGCTCAACTGCTTTTGATACATTTGGTTTTGGCATCTAATATTAACTTACTGTGTTGGTCTAGTTCTCGTCTCGCACATTAAAGCTTTTTAATACTCTCAAGAACTGTAATGTCCCTTCAGTTATCATTTCACAAGGTTTGACAAAACTGTTGCCACTATAAAAGGCAAGTGCATTTTAGAACAGAATCGAAGTAGTCCCTACGAATTTAGCACACAAGAACACTTCCATACTTTCAGAAGGATGACTCTCGTATAAAGTATAATGTATATGAAGCAACACCCCTTTTACAACCCACCCTCATCCAGCCAGGAGAACTTACTTGATGTGCCATTTCAAATTATGATTATTAGAAGCCCAGTTTGACTATGTGGGCAAGTATCTTGAAGCTATTAACATACCAGAGAGAGGTGGGGGACGCTCTTCAAACTGAATGAGGTCAGCAGACTCAAGAATCACTGGATCAGGTCTCAGTTGTGGAGAAGGTAAACATGAAGGAACTGGCTCACACAAGAGGTCAATAGGGGACGTATGTGTGAGGCAAAGAAGTTCTTGCTCAGTTTGATTAGCAACTGCAGAAACAGGAGGAAGATCTTTTAAAGTCTCCCCAACTTCAAATACGTTTCCAATTTTAAATATTTAGAAGCAAGTCTACAGTACTTGGTCATAATTGGTAAGTGTCAACTACACAGCCAAATTGACAAGGATTTAGGGATTAAACCCAGGATGCAATTGTGAATATCCAATTCATGCAAGAATTACTTTGCCTGGTCAAAAAAAAAAAATGTAAACTGATCAGGGTATGGCTAAGGAATAAAAGGGACAAAAACCAAAATATATTCACCTGCCTTTGGAGGAAGAGCTCTGAGAGCTTTAAAAGTTAAATATCTATAATTCTGTCATTTAAAAGAACTTCCAAGTCATACAACTTTCCCCATGCTGCCTGGCTTTCAGCATATTTCCCAAACACTGAATAATTTTATTATATAAATTAAGTTAGCGTTACCATTGGTAGGTGTTCCTAGTTTTAGTTCCATTGATGCAGAGGATCCTGGAATCTCCATATGTTCATTATGATCAGCAAATTGATTTCCATGATCGTCCACATAATCAGCAGGGGAAAAACTGGGTGAGCTAAAACGAGCTGCAAAAAATCAAGTTTATTTGCCTGAGATCATCTCTTATAAAAGCCAAATTTACCATTAGCATAATAATTATTTTATATAAAAAATTTTTTTTAAAGAAAATAAATCAAACTTCCTTACTTTTCATGTCATTCTTTAGTACTACAATTCTCTTATGACCATGTCCTTTTATCCAGACCACCTATTAGAGACAAAAGTAGAATTAAACAAGAGCATCTCCATTAAATCTCAATATCTCCTCCCTACTTTTCACTCATTTTAGCTTAGACAACATTTCTAAAGAAAAGCAAATCAACTTACACAGCTACTCACACTAAAATAAAGTTTTGGCTTGACAAACAGGGAAAAAATGCAAGACAGCTAGATAGGATGCATGATGCCACATTTTCAAAACCGATTAAAAAGTAGTTTAAAAAAACCCCAACTCTCCAAAAAGAAAAAGGTGGGTTTATTTGAAGCGAAGCTTAGAGCCATGAACTAAGCCAAAGACTTAAATGCACAAATAAGTAGTATGTCTAGGTGTACTCTTTGAAACTATTCTAGCAGATCATGCTAGATCCATCCCCCGACCTATCCGAAAGTGACATATGTTAAGAAGTTTGAGTCCAGCACATGCGCAGTGAATGAAGTTTATGAAGGCTCAGGAACCAGTGAATTTGCCACCTCTAAGGAAGTACTGACCTAGTTACATATATTAAGCATGTAATTCCTGGTGACAGGAATTTTGGCACCAAAAAGGTGACTAACATCTTCTGAAGCAAGATGGACAACAATTGGCTTAAAATATGAAGATTGATTAGTTTGACAAATGCACCAGTTGGATGAGCAGTTGAGCGATATACCCTAGAGATATGATTGGACCATGAATGTGATGAGATTTTGAGATATAAGAGGGCCTGAGCTCGTGTCCGTGTCCATGTCCATGTCATGTGAGCTTTTGCTGCGTGTGATTCGAGTGTGAGAGTCTGGTGCGAGTTCTTGAGTCTAGTGATTTTGAAAATGTGAGAGATTAAGAGTGTTTTTTTGTGCGAGTGTCTGTGGAACGCCTGGAGTTGCGTTTAGCCTGGGTGGAACAAGGCTCCCCAGCGATCACTTTGGGATTTGCCCATTGAGCAACACCTGTATGATAAAGTATCACCTGTTCCTTTTGTAAAAGGAGAAAAAGTATCCTGGAGATGTGAAAAGTCTGCTGGGGAGGTGGGGGGAATCCTCACATTTCTTACTTAAAGGCCAGGGCCTGAGAGCAAGTAACAGCTAAGCTCTCTGTGTATGTGCGTGTAAGCTGTTTGGAGTACACGGACTGAAGTCTGCATACTGTTCTCATTGTTTTCTTACCACTGTATTATAATTTTTGTATATAATTGTTGTTGTTGTGGTTGTCTGTTAATGTTAATATATACTTGTGGTTTCCAGTTAAGTAACGAGTCTGTTTATTTGTACTAGCAGTGGGATAGAGCTGCACTGTAAGCAAACACCCTATTTAGAGTCACCCGCCACCTTAAAAATCCTTTCCTTGGGCTGAATTCTAAGGGCACTTATACACATGCGGCAAGTCAGCTTCAATGCACTGGAAATCCAGTGCATCAAAGCAATCTTAAGTAACTGAGGCTGCTGGAGCATGTAAATTGACACCCCTGGTGCTAAGTCAGCCCCAGGTGTATAAGTGGCACAGTGTGTGTAGTGCTGAGAAAATGGTGAGCGGTGCACTGAACTAAAACATGTTTAATGTGCACCGCTGCCATTTTCAGTGCTGACATGTGTTGTGCCACTTATACCAGATGCAGCGCAGGGCGCTTTTAAATAGCACGGCTCACTAATTAAAAGTGCCCCGCGCTACATCAGGAGCACATGTAGAAGTGCCCTAGGGAGAGTAACGCCCTCATCTGCTTAATTAAGAGTTCAGCACTTAACAACAGGACAGAACTTCAACTGTCTACTGTTTTGATGAAAAGCTTTAAAAAGCTATTCTAAGCCAATCAAATCTTAACAATGTAAAAATTCTTCACACCTGTGGAATTGCTCCCAAGAGTTCTTCTAGACTATTATAGCCATATGCCTTAGGCTGCAATACTTCTCCTGTATATTTACTATAGGCTGTGGGAAACTCATGAAGGAAGATCTGCTGATAATGATAGGTATGAAGCAAGGACCTTACATTCTTTGCAAACGTATATAGATAAGTAAGTTTCACATATTCTTCTTCTGCATCATCAGTAAAAACCTGTGTAAAAGAAAAATAAAGTGTACAAACTTTTTAGTCATATAGTTTCTGACAGTACAGACTATAAGTCACAACTAAAGGTAAGCAACTTAAAATCAAACCAAATCAACTTCTATACCTCAACTAAATAAGGCAGACTCTTTAGCAGTTCAGTCAAAGTCATAAATCCATATTCACATGGATTAAGGGGAGTACTGTGGATAGTTTCATAACGCCTTTTAAGCTGGTCAACAGAAAGAAAGGAGGTGCCATCCCAAGACATCAGCAACACCAGCAGTTGTGCAGTCAGAGTCCGAAGAGACTTTCTATTTATCAGCTGAATCTGTTTGCCAGATTCTGTGTCACCAACCTGGAAAAAAAAAAAGATGTATAAAAAAAGGTTAATACGAATCTGTGCTGCTCATGTGCCCAAAATGTTTCATTTCACTTGGAAAGATTTTGATTGTCAAGTCTGTCTGCACATACACACGTCCACCCACCTACACCCTTCCACTGGAAAATCTAACATACCTTCCTGCCTTAGCATGGCATTTATGCTCTTTTTAAAAGAAGGGCACGCCAAAAATATTTACCTTTACAACATGGCAAAGTTTTTGCATTAAAGCTGGAACTGAGCTGACATCATAGTCGTGAAGACGCAACGCATAACCAAATGTTTTACTGTATTCTGTAAGTAAATCAGTCATCATAAGGCAGTTATCCTTCTGAGACCGCAGCAGTTTAACCAACTGGGCTGCAAGAGCTTTGACTCGTTCCACCTCTGTAAGTGTAAGAATTTTTTCCTCTCCACATTCTAACACCTAAAAGAAAAATATACCTTTAAAAAAAAAACTGAACAAAAACTCCAAGCTGTAATTAGTAGTAATAACAACAATGGGAAAAAAGAGGGTATTTTCTCACACAACATGCAACCTAAAATCAGGTGTGTGTATTAAGTGGAGAAGCTGATTTTTTGCTTAGAATTGGAGGCACCCTGGTTTGATTACTGCTCTACACGGAACAGTAATACCTGAGCTGCTGCAGGAAGTCTTTGTTTTTCACTTTGCAGGTGTTAATGGTAGTCTCCCCTTTTTAATGGTCTTGATGTGCCACTGATCAAACTAACCTTTCTTATGGAAATTTGTCCACTAGCACTCCTGTCTTCATTTCACAGCCCCTTTAGCTGTTTATCACAAACTTCTTAGCTCTTTTTAAAATCATAGAGCCACCTAGGGAGACCAGTGCTCAGCAGCAGCTAGGGATTTCTTTTTTGTTATGCAGGAAAGGGACGGTGAGTCAGCTAAAGATCAGGCCTTGTTCTTGCTCTACACAGCCATTTCTCCCCTTCTGCCCCCGCATTCTGTCTTTTAAAAACAAGTTGTGTATTATTTGGGGGCATGTTGTATGCAAGAAACTAAGGTATGTATTCTTTAATTTACATAAACATTCAGCTACCTTGCAAAGAGGATCTACAAAACAAGTAGAATTGAAAGGAAGTCCTAAAAAGACACCTGGTTAAGTTGGGCTTAAAATATTGATTGAATGTAGATCTACAGACTAAGAGAAATGCAGAAAGTAAACATGTACTAAATTCAACATACAAAATCCAGTTTAAACTACTTAAAGATTATTAGTAACTCAGAGGAAAAAACAGGACGTCAAAAATTGTGGAGTCTATCCAAAATAAAAAAAATAGGGAGGATCAGATGTATTTAGTAAAGTAGGGCCATCGGCAAGTAATACAATTCACAACACGCAATGTAGTCCGCTACCAAAAATAGTTCTTGATGAAGGCAAAAAAAACAGCTTGATGAATGAGATATGAAAAGCACTTAAACCTTGGAATTGTCAGACTTACTTGTAAGACATCTGGTATGGCTTCAAAGAGTTCAAGGAGCTTAGTAAACCCATAATAAGCAAGTTTGCATTGACGGCCAAAGTGGTGGTGGTAAGAAGGAATAAATTTATTAAAGGGCATTCGGAAATGAGGTTGATGACGCAGCAAGTCAACTACCTCCTTGGAGAACTGTTTTGTTCTTTCCATTTCTTCTTGAGTGCGTTCTAAAAATAAAAGAAACACCTGAGTGAAGTAAGCCAAATTTTTTGTGGAGTCACATGAAACAAGGCCTACAAACAAAATGTGATTGTGGCTTATCGGAGAGTAAAAATTAATTATTGCTGGTCACAAGCCATTATTTCCTTATTGGAAGAAGTCTTTATCTTTATAGCAAATCTCTACAGAGCTTAAACATGATTATTTCAGATAGTTTCCAATTGTTCTTTGGTAAAGTGGAGACAATCAAAAAAATTGATTAGTAAAACAGACAGACTTATCTAGCCATCTTTCAAACAAAATTCAACTACACTTGATGCTACTTGCTAAAATTGATACAAGAACATGACACTAATAGCATAGTGTTAATTTCATTCTAGTAATGTAAAAGGAAAATTTTCTATACAAGCATCTCAGATACAGAGTTACAATAGGAAAGGTATCATTTAACTTCTACAACGAGTACAGGAGCCAAAAAGTAGCCCTGAGAGAAAATCAACACTTCTATTCTGATTTGTTAGCCAAAGAGCTTAAGTATATGAAAAAAATCTACTGGACAATGGCAAAAAGAAAAAAGTTTAAGCTGTACCTCTTTTGGGAATGCATATTACCATTTCATTGTCCTGCTGAGACAAACAGATGGTTGTATCTGGAATTTCTGCTATTATATCCACCAACTCGCATACTCCATATTCAGTAACATCCCAATCTTTAGAGAAACACCTATATGCAATTTAATTGTAAAGCAAGTAAAGAATAATTTTACATCCGTCAGTAAAATGGCAAAACAACAGTTGGTTTCCACTTATAAAATTGGAATTATCAGAAGAAAACCCTACTCCTAATGAACTTAAGAAATATGTTCATACTGCCAGTAACATCAACACATCATAAACCATGATTATTCCATGAACAATCTAAAACTGGAGATGCATGGGGAAGAGAATCAAGTTATATGTACCAACCTCAGACTAATACAAATAAAAAATAGGCAGGTGCTGAAGACAGGGAGCAATGTCCCAGCCCCTACTCCACTTGTGCAGCTCGGGCTAGGAGCTGCCTGCACGAGGAGGATTCCCCACCCACCCTAGAGCTGGCTGGGACCTGCCCCAAAACAGGATAGTTCCCAGCCAGCCCTGGGCTGCATTGGGAAGTCCCACTAGGTACAGAGTTTGTTCCCTTGTGCACGGGACAGGACAGTTCTGTAGCAGCACCCATCTCCTGGCCCCACACACATCAGGACCCCTTCTGACGTGTATGGGGCCAAGAGACAGTTGCAGCTCCAGCCTGGCCCCATCCACATGGGGACCAGCCCTGCTTCTCTGCCCAGTTATCATCAAGGGGGAGCCTGGAGCTCCCCCTGGCCGCTGCAGGGGGGCAGAGCAGGGCAGGAGCAGCCCTGTATCAGGTTGTTCCCATTGCGAGCAAATCCACAAGCAACTTGCAACACATGCCACAGGCTGCCTTTGGCAGCACTGTGGCAGATAGGGCACGAAACAGAAAGCAGAGCAACACACTGGGCAGGAAGCACAGAGAAGGGAACAGAAAGAAGAACAGCTGATTGGGCAGATGAATGGGATTGGAGCTGCTTTGGGGCATGGTGCAGGGCTGATCTGCGGCACACCTGCCAAAAAGGTTGGCCTGCACTGTTCTAAACAGTAATGTAGAATTTCTGCCAAGGAATCCCTCAGAAGAATGTGCATAATGCACATTCACACTTTCAGGTGTAAGACTTGCCAATAAAACCCTGAAACTATAATAGAAAAAAAACTTTAGTAGCTTTTTAGGGAAAGAAATGCTTTTTTTTTTGTAATACAAGAAAATGTTAACTGACAAAGGCTCACGTACTAGTTTCATAAAGGCATACATTAAACTGCTATTTCCTATCTTTCTTTAAATGCTGAGGCTACCTAATAAAAAAAGGGCTCTGTTATTCTAAGAACAATGGAGATAGGATTTTAATACTGGCAATGCAAAATCCCCCTTAGAATTTGTCCTAATATGTGTGTCAAAAACTTTGGCTGAAACATTTTGGTTTTTAGCCCAAAAAAGGTGCACAATAGCACATGTTCTCTCAGACTAAATTTGCTTTACAAAACTATATTCACAGCAATATTAAAATTATGCTCTCAGGGATTAAAAGTTAAAACATAGTAACCTGATTTAAAAAGCAGCCAACAATTAAATGAAGCACTTAGCTTATTTAATTTTTAAAGTAAAGCAACACTGAATTCTATAAAGGTTGTAATATTTTTATTTTATTCTAGTGTTGTCCATCAGATTTTCAACAAGTTCAAAAATAAAACAAGAGTGAAAAAGAAATAATGTCACAATTGTCTGTTATTACAGAGAATGCTAACTTCAACCCTATTACACACTGTATTTTAGAACAAAATTAAATTAAAATATGGACTAGATGTTTTGACAGGTGGCTAAAGACAAGAGCTAACTTACCAATGATAAGCCTGTAAGAATTCTCTCACAATAACTTGTTTGCTGGCCTGGGATTTAAGAAGTTTCAATAAATCTTGAGTGAAACGTTTTACTTGGGCCCTGTGCGTTAGGGTCAACAAGCGTCTGGAGCCCATGCCAAGGATCTATAAGATTCAAAAAGAAATAAAAAAGACACTTGAGCATGGAAGCCAAGCCACAAACATCTCCTTATAGTCAGGGATCTGGATTTTCTGTTGCCATGGAAAAACACGGTAAAACACAGATTTTCCAACTTTCAGGAGAAAAACTTGGGAAACGGTAGGTTTCTCCTTGCAGGTTGACAGACTGCAAGGGGCTGGGGGGAGTGGGAGGAGGGCAGTGATCAGGTATAAGGCGCTACATGCATGTGCACGCACACATGCACATGGCAGCCAGGCAACATGGAGAGCAGCTCCCACAGCTCCCTCCAGGTAAGTCTGGGGCAGGAGTGGGGACTGAGGCCCCCATAGTGAGGGAGGAAGCAAGCTGTGCAGGGCTAGGGCTGGGAGCACTGCCTAGTTGGGGTGATGCATGGGGCCTGAGGCCCAGTGCCAGAATATGTGGTCGCAGGGCCCAGGCAGGAAGCAGGATGGAGCTGCAGGGCAGCTTGTCCAGGGAGCAGAGGGGGGATGGGGTGAGGGACACAGTCGGCTCCCCGCCACTGCATGCACTCCTGGGAAGGCATGTGCCCCCCATGCCCTCCAGATCTGTGCATGGGATGGAGGCAGATGCAGGCTGACAGATGCAGGCTCAGGGCTTCCTGCCCTGCAGCCTTTCCCCTGGGGCCTCCCAGCAAGTGGGACCCAGCATGGCAGGGCATAGCAGGGTGGGGAGGCATGGTGCTGGGAGCCCTACATCACCATGGCAGGTGCCCTTTGGCTGCCCGGCAGCAGCAGGGAACAACTCCATACCACCACCCCCACTGCTGCCTAGCGGACAGGGAGTGCCTCGCCATGGCAGTGAGGAGCTCCCAGCAATGGCACCAACCTCTGCCCTGCCATTCTGGGTGCTTCCTGCTGGGCTGTGGAGGCCCCAGGGGGAGGGGAGCAGCCCTGAGCCTGCAGCCTCCAGCCTGCATCTGCCCCGCCCCACCTCCCACAGGCTCCGCTCCAGCCATGATGCCCATGGGGGAGAGGGAGCCAGGCTCCACACTCCACTGGGCCGCAGCAGCCATTGCCTCCCACAGGCGGCAGCAGGGGCTCAGGCACTGCTGGAGGCAGGAGCAGAGAGCTGTGGTCCTGGGTCTCTGGCCTTGTAGCCCTGGCAGCTGGGGGCCCCCTCTGGCAGGGTGGGGGCTGTGGGTGGGGAGTGAGGAGCACCAGCAGGGCCAGAGGCCTGTGAGTTTGGGGTGAGGGGCAGTGGCATGGGCAGGGTAGCGGCATATCAGGGCTTCTCAGCATCACCAAGTACTGAGGGGGTGAGGGGCAAACAGCTGCAGGTGGACCCACATCCTGGTAAGTGAAGAGGGCAGGAGAAGCTCTGATTTTCCATGATCAAGAAGCCCAAAATCAAATGCCAACATTTGTAAGTAGTTAGAATTGATTTGATTATAGTGACTAAGGCATTAGTAGGCTTCCAAATTGCTTTATAATTGTAAATATATCAATAAAATATTGTGTTCAACTGATTTTATATATATAGCGGCGTTTCATTTTAATTGTGGATTTGGAGTTTTTAAAATCAGAGAATCCATGATGGGTTTTTAAATCAGAGAATTTGCCATTTTTAAAGAGAGAAAACCAGGATCCCTGCTTATAGTAATCATGATGAGCTATTTAGCTAGAAATGTAAATAAGAACAGAAGAGAAGCATAAGTAAAAACAGTATGCCAAGTATATGGCTATGAGATGCTACATTTACATACACTTCTCCATAGCCAAATCATGGGGAGAGATGTGTTAAGTTTTTCTGCTACATGGGGTTAGCATAGGTTATTAAAAAATTCCACAACTAGCACAGTTTTTCCAAAGCCCTGCTAATGTTACCACAAATACTATACTGAAGGACCAGCTGAGTATCCCTAGGACCATGCAAGTTCCCAAAATAGCACTAATAAGGGGGTGGGGAAGACGACTTCTCATATGGTTCCAATCTGTAATACTGATGCTCTGCCTGGTCTTATTACTGAACACAAATTAACATATTCTGCAAATAGCTAGCTAAATACAGCAGCAGAAGATAAACTACAAGACTTAAAGTAGACTTCAAAATTCCACTGCCACAAGTTAAGTTTAACAGAGCTTTATATATTTAGAAGTTTATTAAATCCAAAAATGTCCCCCCCGCTACACATACACACACATGCACAGAGAAACAGTTATGATGATTCTCTCACCAGAACCAAACAACTGACTCCAAGCCCAACCATTTCCTTTGCAAACATGACAGGATAACAATTACAGTGTCTATATTACATAAAGTGGCAATCACTGACAGACTCATTAAGTGAGCTGATTCTAAATATAAATTTACATTTTAACAAGACAAAGGAGTGGCATTTAACTCACTTGCAGTACATGAGGCACTGCTTCCAGCAGCTCCATTAACTTGGAATACCCATAGTCAGACACACGGCACTGTTTTGCAAAGTGATGGTGATATGTTGGGATGAATTTACTGACAGGTATGATACAGGATGGCTGGCTTTTAAGTAGATCAATCACTTCTCTACTGAACTGAATAAGCTGTGGGTTACCTACAGGGCTTTTAGATCGAAGCAGCCATGGATCTAAGGAGGAGAGTTTTATTTAGAATGAGAAGGCATTTGCTTCATACAACTATGCACATTACTGAGATTTTATCATTGCTATATAACCCAAAGTGGGAATATCTATGCAATTTAAAAGTTGTTACACAATTGTTATCAAATAGTTTTCCATACCCCACCAAATAACATGAAAGTTTATCATATGCAACATTGTTGAAACAAAACAAAACAAAACAAAAAAATACTTTCAGACATTTTAGAAGGATGGATTTAACAATTTTATGGATTAACTCAATCTTCACAATATATTTTTTTTTTCTGAGAACTAACAATGATTTTCCTTTCCTGTTGGATGCCCAGATACAAAGAATGAAAATGAAACAGCAACATATATGGTACCTGTAGTAGGGGGTGGTGGTTTGTTGTGTATCCATTTAACAACTTTAATGCCGTTTTGAGCAGTGGCAATATTAACTCCAGGAACACAGGTGATGAGATGCTCCAAGGGAACTCCTCCCTGGCCTTCCTGTACTATTTCTAGATCGCTGAACTCCGAAGTATAGCAATCAGGAAAACTTTAAAAACAAAAGGACAGGGGGGTGAAGAACAAAAGAAACCCTGCTAAATAATAAAGATCTTACTCTACTGCCAATCATCTTATGAATACATACAATTCTATAAAAGGGGATATATTCCTTGCTCAAGGAACTTCTAAACATCCTATTAATAAGAGGGCATAGATATTTTTTGACTCCACAAAAACAAGTCTTTATTTAACTGCTCTCAGAATTATTGGACAAAAAGTTGTCGCAACAAAAAAACCTCAGCTGCTAAAAGAGACACTTACTTCTGTTATAAATATACCATTTCACAGCACTTTAGCATGTTGCAGGAGAAGGAGAAGTTAAAGTGATACAGAAATTTAAAAAAAAATCAAAACCTCAAGTTTACCTTAGTAAAGGCAAAGTGCCCTCATGTGTCTGCAGCAGACTATGGACTTGTGGTGCAAATGTCTTCAAAGACAAAATTACAAAAGGAATTTTGTAGGAGTCTGGATCAAACTCGTGTTCACTGTAAAAATGACACAAATAATTAATTATGACATACTTATCCTTTGAGCACAGCTTATTTTGCGTGCAAGTACATGTACAATACTGGTGCTAACCGGAAAAACACTTCTGGAATGGCAGTTCTCCCTTCCTTTGGTATGCACTTTGCACAACTGAATCTCATGAATACTATGTATGTGGGACGGGCGATGGTTCAGTATTATGTGAACGAGGAGAACCAGCATGTTGTAACTAGCCGGCTGCATATTGCCAGCAAGTGTTCTTGAGATATCTACAGTTGCTGACAAATAACCCTATAAAAAAGCTTATTATAACATGGATCAGCAGCAGGCGTTATTGACCGCTAATTGACTTAGGTGGGGGCGGAGGAGGAGGGAAAGGAAGAATAAACTGTAGGGCAAGTAGAAAAGCAAATTTATGAAATTATAAAATTATTCTGCATTTTCCTCACTACACTTCTCTAACCAAATCAGGAAATTGATACGCATTTGGATCTCTGCCTAACAAGTGTTACATCTTCAGCAATGGGACTGAAGCATAAACCCAAATTTCTCAGAAAAAAACAACTCAAACCAGGACACTACATGAAATACCACTTTGTTCCCCACTCTACTTGATCCATTCTGATTTAGCACAAGCTTTAAAACAGGATATTCACTCATTGATGCATCTTTTAAAAATGGTATATACCCAGGACCAGACCCTATTCCACCCATTAGATGCTCAAGTATGATCCTATTCTACCAAGCTCAAGTCCTTGAAAAACAGTTAATGCAAAAGGTGCATGGAGTCCCCCACCTGCTTGCTGCTTTTTGTGACTTAGTCTAAAGGCTTGGATAATGATGTTACAGAAGTAGGAATGTTAACATTTTTTTCAGGGATTTGAGCAAAGTGCAATAGGATTATATTCAAAAGGTAAGATCTGAACTTTCATGTAAAATACTTCTGAAGAAAAAAAAAAAAAAAAAGGAGTTTCCACACGCATTCTACCTGAAGTCTTTATCCAGGCAGTGTTGTTTGCAAATGGGTTCATGATACTCCAACTCTTCAAATATTATAGGACTGCAGTTGGCTGATGAGCCATCATGAGACTGCGAAGATCCTAAAGGACTTTGCCGTGCTTGGCTGCTGGGTAGAAGACATACTAATCGTCCATTTCCTTGGTCACGGATTGCCACAGTATCCGTTAATTTATATAGATCTGTTATAATTAGCTTGTGTCCAAATCTAAAATGAAATATATAATGATACACTATTCATAAAAAGAATCTGACAAGAACTAAAAAAGAATCAGACTCCAAGGATTGAAATAAATATGAAGTGATAGAATACATTAAATATTCCACATTGAGCAAGTACAGTCAAGTGCAGACATTTCTTTCCCCGGGGACAGGTCGCTGCTACCCATCCCCAGGAAACACCTGTGCCACAGAGCAGGTTACCCCGGATGGGGTAGGGGAGGCGGCACCCAGCAACTGTGCTGGCTCCAGCAGCCGTGTCTGGGGTCCTCCCAAGGCTGCAGTCATGACAGGAAGCCTGCCCAGTAGGTCTGTGCGATTCGTATTCGGCTGATCCGATTCGGAGGTCCGAATCACATTTTTGATTCGAGTTGGCCGAATCGATTTGGAAGAGATTTGGCCATAGGGTATAATAGGGGAATCAATTAAATATCTATAACTTTGTTGTTTTTTGGCTGATTCAGATGAAACTTGCAGGGGTGGTAGCTGCTGCAAAGGGCACGAAGCGTGCCAAGTTTCAAGATGAAAGATGCAGGGGTTTCTGGGAAACTGTACCTCAAACTACTGACAAGCAGAACTCATGACACAGGTGACAGTGTGTGCATTAAGGCACAGGGGGAGTCTGGGTTCTGGGGCCCTGCACCTCTGGCTGCAGGCAGGCAACACTCAGATATTTGACTGCCCAGGTACCTCTGCACTTCTATTTGTGCTGCTACATCCCCCTTCCCCCCCTACCCTAGCCTGTTCCTCACCCCAACACCTCCATTTCCATTTTCACTGACTGCCTTTCTCGCCTGCATTGCTTGCCAGGCCAGCCTCTAGCTTCTTTACTATTCCTTCCATCCAGGACCAGGAGAGACACCAACTGCAGGTACTTCCTCAACTTGACAAAGGGGTTTTCAACCCAAAAGCTTCCTAAGATGTATTTTTCTAACTATTTCGCTTTTTTTCATAATAAGCATAAAAACACAAGATAAGCCATCACACACCGTGAGTAACATATATCCAACACAACATCTTTCTTTTTATAAAGGAGTTGACAGAAAGTAGTAAAGGCTCTGTGACAGTTCCGCCTGGATACCTTTGATGCGGCTGGTGCTATTGGCGTTGAGCCAGCTAAGTTATGTTGACCTGCTGTCATTTAGTGGTAGACTGGGCCGAGGCTGATGTGGAGGAAGAGACCTCACAGGAGCACACTGCCATGTTGTGCAGAGGCCCCAGCGCTAGGAAGGGCGCACCTGACAGGGGCACACAGTCCCACAAGCACCCATGTCACGAGTTTTGCCTGCCTGCGACCAGATGTGCAGGGCCCCAGAACCCAGACCCCCCCTGCACCTATCTCCTTGACAGCTGGCAGGCTTTGTGGCTGCAGCAGGGGCTACCACCCCTGCAGTTTTCACCCCCTTGTGCCTATAACACACACAGTGTAAGGCATGTCATGAGTTTTGCTTGTCAGCAGTTTGAGGTGCAGTTACCCAGGAACCCCTGCATCTATCTCCTTGAAACTTGGCAGGCTTTGTGGCCTCAGTAAGAGCCACCACCCCTGCAGTTTTCACCCCACCATGGCTTAACACATACACACAACCTGAGTTTTGCTTTCAGGAATTGAGGTCCAGTTTCCCAGAAATCCCTGCACCTATCACCTTGAAACTTGGCAGGCTTCATGCCCTCAGCAGCAGCTACTATCCCTGTAAGTTTCATCTGAATCAGCCAAAAACCAACAAAGTTATAGATATTTCATTGATTCCCCATTATACCCTACGACCGAATCTCCTAATCTTTTCCGAATCTATTTGGAGAGCCTAAAGCTTCTAGTGATTCGATCTGGATTTATAGATTCGGCCTCTGAATCATCTCTGAATCGTGACCCAAATCTTTGCACAGCCCTACTGGCCAGCAGCCAGAGTGTGGCTCTAGCTGGCCAGGCTCCAGTTTTCGGCAGTGCACATTGCTGACACATACATCTCCCCTCCCCTGTTTTTTTTTGGCATGGGTTTTTCTGAGCCAGGGATCTCCTGAAAGCACGCCTCCCTGCAGATATCTTGGGCCAAAGGTAGCTCGCCCACCCTGTGAGGGAGGGTTTATGGGGGAGGTGAAAAGCATCTTCTGTGGGGGACTGTGGGATAACTTGAATCTGGAGGGGATCTGGGACAGAAGTTCAATTAAACAATTTAACTTAAATCAGTTAAGTCTGATACTACATCCATCCAGGTTTACCCTAAACCCATTTGCATGCACAGAACTTCTGTTGTATTACTGATCTAAACTGTTTTCCAATCACTTATACCAGTATGTGTGCAATTTTTGTCCCTAGCTTAAAAGACAGTCTGAAAACTTAATTAAAAGCTACCAAATCTGAACTGTTAATTTAAAGCACTAATCTTTTCAAACTGAAAAAGGTAGCAAACTATAACGGGAAACCAAGGCCTCTGAATACATAAAATGCATGGAATTCTGCTACACTAGCAAAGAAAATATTGCTTATACTTTAATCATTTATTGTTTTTTTACTCTACGAACAGAAAAAACCCATTATTTTTGGTAATAAAATTTAAAACCAAATGCAATTTAAAGCTTACTTCTTTTCATAGATTTCTGTGAACTTGAATATAGGCAGACAACAAGCAGGAGCATCCTGAAGAATAGAGATTGTTTCTGAACTGCAAGTAAAATTTTTTAGTGTTAGTACCCTTATTTTATTAAGCAAAAGTTAACTCTAATCTTGAAGTTTACTTCAATTACTCTGTTTCTCAGCTGAGGATGCAGTACCCTGATTACTACCAATTTAATGCTTTTGGTTTTAATAAAAGTTAACCTGTTATAAAAGTGAATCAGGGAGCAACAGGAATCCCTAGCCTCATATGATCCCAAAACAGTAAGTTGATTAAAGCAACCAGAATTCACTGGTATTTTTGCCAAATTGTAAATGATGGAACAGAAGTTAAAGTAGGGACTGGAGCACATTTAAGCTATGTTTGTGTATATCACTTCTTAGTATTAAGCATAACAAGTGGACAAATGGTCAAATTCCGATCTGTTGCATCCAGGCCACGCTATGCATGTCATACTTCTGCTTAGAAGATAAAAAGGACATGTAATATCTCTAAAGGAGCACTAAAACATCGGCACCAAAGTAGTGCAGCACTCAGGCAGCGCGGAGTAGAGCTGGCAGCATGGAGAGCTGCCTCTGGCTGGTAAGTTGGAAGGGGAGGGAAGGGGTGTGTGGGGGGGCAGATCAATGCCCCCCACAGTGAGGGAGGGGGCAGGGGCAGGCACTGCCCAGCTGAGGCAGGGCGTAGGACAGAGGTGCAGCTCATGGGGTGGAGCTTGTACCCAGAGGGGCAGGGGGTTGTACCCAGATCCATACAGTGCCAGGCAGGCTGCTGTTGCAGGGTGGAGCCAGTGCTGTACAGAGCTCTTCTCACTGGGGGCAGGGCTCAGAGCAGGCTCCAGCGGTGCAGAGAGGAGGCTGTAGCCACCCCAGATTTTATTGGACCTCTGCTCCCAGCCCCACGCCACCAGCTGGTGCAGCCATGGCTTTTCCTGGCACTTGGGTGGAGGTGGTGGTGCGGGACTGAGAGCAGAACTGCAGCAAAATTTGGGATGGCTGCAGCCTCCTCCCAGTACCGCAGGAGCCCACTCTGAGCCCAGCCCCTTGTGAGAAGAGCCCCACACAGCACCAGCTCCACCCTGCAGCTGCAACCTGCCCTGCGCTGTGCCAATCCAGGGGCACATGCCTGCCCCACCTTCCTGAGGGGCAAGCAGCAGCAGGAGATACCCCCACCCCATGAACTGCACCTCAATCCTGTGCCCTGCCCATGCCCCCTCCCTCACCACAGGAGGTGTTGATCTGCCCCCCCACCCCCACACACTCCTTCCACCATAGCTCATGGCAGCTGTATCGGATATCAGATTGGTATTGGCCAATATGCCTCCTTAAATATCAGCTATCGGTATTGTCCCCCAAAAATCTCTATCAGTGCACCCCTAACTATTTCTTGCCCTCTACTTCAACCATCCAGGAGACTTTTCAAAGACTGTTCAAAATATGCATAAGAGATAGGCACCAGATAATTATGGAAGATAATATGAAAGCCATATTAATAAGATATAAAGTAAGCACCCAGAAGTAGAACAGTAACTGACAGTGTCATTTTTTAGCTCCCTTAGCTTTTCCTAACTTCTGAATACAGTACCAGTTTCATGAAACTAACAAACTGACTTTCCTCCAGAACTTAAATATGGTAAGTAGTCATATAGCATGAAGCTTCCAAATGAAGCTCTGGTACCTTTATACAGCAGAGAAGCACTGTAAACAAAACATCGAAATTTAGCTAGTGCTAACCTAAATACTACAAGATAAAAACTTTTTCTTCACTTCAAATGAACTTTAGTCAATTGGTACAAAAAATAAAATTTTGCGTGGATTCTTCTCAACCTCTCTCCCTCATTGCTCTTTGATTTCTCTAATAACTGAAGAAAAAGCATTTAGGTTGTTTTATACCTAAGAAGGGACAGAGATTTATTAGCAGCTCCTGTTGCTAGAGAGACCTGAATTCTTTTGCTGCCAATTTTATATCTGTGAAGATTGTTGACAGCCCCAATTGCTTCTTGCAGATTTTCCATTTGAACTGTAGCCTTCAGTTGGTAATCTGTATGAGGACTGAGCTCTACATTCTTTACCTGGAAGAGAAATATGAACCACACGGGTCACAAAAGAGACCAGACTGAGCTAGAAGCCATTTCTTTAACATGGAAATTTAGACAAGTTATACACAAATTTATTTTGCAGCCATTTATAAACCATCCCATGGCATCTCATTGATGGGTTATTTTCTAGTCTTGGTAGCAAAACAATATCCACCTTTGTTTCAGTTATGCTTAAATAAGATTAAAAGTATCAACTCAATATTTAAAGCATCCATTACTTTTGAATCTAACGTTAGGAGTAGACGGTAATTTTAAAAATATTTTACAAGTTCAAAATGAAAGCGCACACAGCACCTTTGTCATGTTTAACATACCTAGAAAGACAGAATACAAAAACAAAATATATGGATCAAGAAGTATTATGGCTCAGCATCACAAAATACTAATTGATGAGTTCCAACATGTTAAGATGTCACCAGACCAGTTTTTAGTCCTTATAGAAAGCTAAAGAAAGGAAATAAAGTCAAATCAAAATAAAAAAGGATTAGATCCATTACCTTGCCATGTCTAGAGAAAATGTCTTGCAAAATTTGCTGCAACTCTTTTCTGGACAACCTGTAGTCTATATTGCTGATATGAATATCTGCACCATTTGCAAAAGGATCAGGAGAGTCCGTACCACTGGTCTGATTTATAATATTGAAGGTGAGTGGGGATGATCTGTTTGAAAGGTTTGGAGACATACTCCTGATTGAAAGGAAAAAAAAGCATTTTATTTTCATTAAGTGAATATGACAAGTGATGATTCTGTTGGTGTCCATGTGCTGAAAATACAAGCATGTGCAAGAAAGCTCACACACAAATTAGGTAAACAGATTTACCAAGGTTAACTGCATTTTTCTTACACAAAAGCATTTTGTTCACGTGTCCAAACACAGAAACCAAAAGTGTCTTCTTTTTACACTGAAGAATGGATTATTTCCTCAAAAAAACCCAACCAACCAAACAAAAAAACCCCCCAAAAACCTAGAACCCCCACAAAACTATCATCTCAAAATGAACAGCAAAGTTTGGAGTTGGACAGAATTTTTGCTCATAAAATATATACTTTCCTCTATACATTAAAAGCCAAAACTACTTGCTGTTATCTACCCAGGAAGACTTTTCCCAAGCCCATTAGGCAATGTTTGCATCGCTGGGCACATGCAAGCCTTGGAAAAAAAATCTTGCCTCAAATGTTAAGAAGCAGAAGTACTTCAGAAATACTGTGAACTCTACCAATACCAGTAAGAAGAGAAGCATGAAACAGCTACCACAAAGTGAGCTTCTATTTGAAAGTGAGGAATGTTCCTTTTTTGGTTTTTAAATCCAGCTCTATCCATTAGTGCTCAGATAGCTACTAATATGTTAGCATCCTTACTTAAGGCTGAGTCACCATGCATTAGTGTCAAAATGGCTGTTAGACAAATCCATATGCAGGATTTTTTTTGGCAGCGGGGTCGGGAAGGCTTGTGGGGGGGG